ATACCTCCTAACAGTCATCGGAAACTACACCATCCTTGGACTGGGCCATATCAGATTCTCTCTAAATTGTCTGATCTAAACTATAAAATAGCTCCAACTCATGACTTGAGTAAGACATCTATCGTCCATTTCGACAGATTAAAGAAATGTCATTCAGGGTCCCAGATTACTACTATGTCTCCTTTTTCTCCCTCTCTAATTACTCACACCACTCATAATATTGGTGAGGATGCAGAATTAGTAGATGGACCTGAGGAAGTTCAGCCTGACAATCTTGATGATACCCCTTCCCATGATATGGACTTAACTGAGAGTAATGATACCCCTTCTCCTATGGCAAATAGTCTTAACACGTCTCTCCATTCCTCCTATTCTTCCACTCCACCCGTCTCTCGTTCTTCCACTCCACCTGTCTCTCGTTATCCCTCAAGACATCGTCTTCCTCCAGATAGAGGTCCATTTATTTCTCACTAATGCGGGACGCATTTCTTTAGGAGGGGAGTTGTGTAGTAATGTACTATATTCATGTGTAATGTTTATTAACTTATAAACTAATAATGTATTGACTAAAAGGACACACCTATATATATATTATGATTGTTGTTATGATTATGAATGTCATGTCTTCTTTCTTTGGATCTGAAGATTATCCTTTCTAATCCTGGAATAAACGACAGTAATATAAGAGAGGAGAAATCCCAGTATTACAGTCTCATGTTTTGCCAAGTGTTTCTGATCTAGTGATGTTGGCAAAATCAAAGGTGCTCAATAAATCTGTACTTCAAATGAATGTACACTACCTTGAATTGCAGAGATTTTTAAATGATTTGCAGCAACACCCTGAAGCTATTATGAATAAAGAGCACCGTGTATTCATATCAGAAGAATCCATTTATGGTAATGATGCCATTTTAAACTATCGTTGTCGTGCCAAGTGGAAACTAGTTCATACTCATCTCTATTCCTTAGATACATGGGACAGCACTTTACTATATCCAATAATCATTGCTGGAGTTACTGCAATGGAGAGAAAGCTTGCTACTTACGCTCATCATCAATTACCTGGTGGTATCTATTGGGATCCAGAGCCCAAAATAAAAGCTATTCTCAGTAAGCTGGAGCCCAGTAACGACATTTGCGAATCTATGTTAGGTTTAAATGATTACTTGAGTACAGCAATGCCAAATATGCATCAAATGACAAGATCTTGCCTTATCGAAGTAAAAAAGAATAAGACAATGCAGTGGCTAGATAAACTATCTCAGGAAAAGCAGGAAAGAGTGCTGGACTTGGCTGTAAAGCGTAGGAAGCAAGTGTTAAAGGAGCGAAAGGAAGATGACATCAGAAGAGGTGAGAAGAGAAGAGAACGAATTCTTCAAGCTCACTCCAAGAGGCGAGCACTTGAGGAAAGATCTCAAAAAGAAAAGGATAAATTGTCAGAGTTACACCTCATCACGACAACTGAGGAACTAAGTGAGATCATCCAAGAGATAGATAAGAAGGATATCAGTGAAAGTAAGAAAATTTCTGAGAAGCTTAAGCTATTAAGAACCCAGATCAACATAAGAAAGAAGGTTTTAAAGCAAGTAGTTCATATAGCTTTCACTCAATCAAGGAAACAACGCCCTATACATCAAATCATTCAGGAGTTATCTGATTTCATACTTGCTAGCAAATGTGATAAAATTCCAAGTAATCCCAGTTCATTAATTGGGAAAGTAATTCAACACAAATTTCAGCTTGAAGATACACATGAAGAAGTTTGGTTTGATGGAAGAATTGTTGATTATGATTCTGTAACAAAGCAACATCAAGTTGTTTACGATGGAGATGACAGTAGTTACTCTTTTGATTTATGTCAAGATATTGTTTTAGGAGACTTAATAATATGCTAAATATTTGTGAAAAGATTTTATTTTTACTACTATAATCCTTTTTCCAATCATTCCTTTGTCCTCTGTAGTCTCTATTTCTCTCTACATACAATTTAAAAAATTAATTTTAAAATAATCATTTTCATTTGAAACTTCATGAATTTACAGTAAATTATTTCAAAATAGTTTCTATAGTGCATAATTTCTTTTAAAAAGTATCTTCATCCAGTTCTACACAATATTAGAATGAGGTATTTGATGCCTCTTTCTCAGCTTTAACCCACTGCATTTTAATTACTTTTACTTCGTTGGTGACGTCTTTAAGAGCGTGCTTTGTACATTGCAGTTCCTTTACAGTTTCATTTACAAGCACAACTAACTTCTTGATCTGTTCCGTACATTCTTTTACTTGCAACTGAACTGTGTTCATTTGAATATCTTCTAGACCATACTTTACAATAGAATTTCGTGGTTGATTAGATGTAGCAATTCTTTCAATAAAACGATAAGCATTATCTGGACGTAGACCTCTTGCTTGTAAATTTGTATCGATTGCCATGTAAAATTTTCCTATCGAAACTTTTGTTGAAGTGGAGGTCAGAGGACATTTCGTCATAAAATAGTGTAAATCTTGGTAGAACCCACAATCAGGAACTCCTCTCAAACGCCACACCAGAGGTTCTTCTTTGCCCAGCAGTACCTGACTAAAAACCTCAACCAACAGCTCTTCATCAAGACCATATGCCTTCAGCTCTTTAGAAAATACAGTATCTACATGTATTTGTAAAAAAAATTTTAAATAGATTTAAAAATTGAACATTCAATAAACCATACCTTTGGGACCAGGGTTTCTGATTCTTGGTACCCACACTTTACTCCTGTATGCTTCAAGATCAGACCCAGAAATCTTACTGATACCCCTCAAAGATGGTTGTGTTGGTGCAGCAATACGTTTCACTGTATCATATAAACGATTGGGACGACCCACATTAATGTGAGGATGGGCACGCTGAAACTTCTCAAACAGAATGTCTTGTATACTTGAAGTTTTATCTACACAACGCTCTGATTCTTGTAGTAAGTCAATTAAATCACCGTACGTAGGATCTAAATAACAATACTGTTAGCAAAGTACAGTTATGCATACAAATCACCTGGTGGGTCTTCTCCTTTCTCTGCCATGACACTTTTGATAGTTTTTGAGACCTATAGTGCAAAAAGAAACTAATTAACACATACACAGAAGGCACCGCCCATTCCAAAATGGCGGCTCAGCACATCATCATTTGCTTCCAGATGGCAAATCAACTCGCACAAATTTTTGCCTATTACCAGGGATGCATTAGACATTGGTCTACAAAATAATGTTGAGAGATAGGAGCTTCGCTCTATATCTGGGGAATGGGAGCCGCCGAGGCACTAACCAATCAGGCCTGGTTATCACATTTTCAGTAAAAACAAAAAAGAAGCTTCACTAAAGGACATGCTAGTGTATCTATATCAACCCCAAACTAGTCACAAACAAATGACACACAACCTCACCTCTACTCACTTCTTCCACATTGCAGCACCAAGCTAATTTTAACCCCTAGTGCACCACACTGTTGTAAAAATTTTTTTTTTTAAAGAAAGAGAAGTTGAAGCAACAATCTTGTGCTGCCTTTGGATTATATAAAGTATGTATATCAATTCACAGTAATAAAATAATTGTTTTTTAAAACTTCATTTTTCAGGTTGCAGACCCTATGTATAAACCAATGGCTACCGTTTACGTAACGTAAGAGTTGAAATTATCTCTACTCTTGCGTTACGTAAACGGTGGCCATTGGTTTATACAGCACTTCCTGTTTTAACGTATGGCCTTACCTTACGTTAACTTTGCAGTGTAAATCCACCTTAAGCTAGGTTTACATTCGACGAAACGGTGAAAAGTGCGTGGGCGCTTTGACCTTTTGACGCAAAAACGCTTTGAAGTTGACGCAAAATTGGTCAAATTTCAATTTTGCGTTCATTTGCATTGCGTTTTGTGTCGAGTGTAAACCTAGCTTTAAGCAGGAGCAGCTTGATTAGCAGTGCGTCTTTCTAAAAGCGATAGGGCGTGTCTAACAATAATCATTAGGGGCGCGTCTACCCTAACCACGTGTACACACGTGTCCTAAGTGTTATCACTTATCAGACATTCACTAATTGTTGACACACCCATTGACTCTTGATGGTTCAGATAGAGTTTGACGAGGGAACTGGTACCTTTCCTTATTTCATAGTCCTTCTCTACGGGATATTTCTACTAGTTATAACTTACTTCCTTTGGCCTAAGAGCAAGAAAAGTGAATTGAATTAGTACTGTATTTTGGGCTTTAATTAGAACATTAATGTCTTTGTTAGGAGATGACAGAGGGAGTGAGTGCCAGTGTGGGCCATGTTGTCAGAAAAGAAATAAAGTGGAGAAGGGACAGGCTATAGATAAACTATTAAAAATAATACGGTAAATATTAATGATGTCATTTATATCAATTACCGTATAGCAAAAAATTGTGTGGCCCAAAAGTTGTGTGGATTTTGTTTTTTTTCAAAATTCACAGACAATAAAATCTGCAAAATATGATTCAATATGGGTTCAAAATAGCTGAAAAGTAGAAAACTGCAAAAATTAAAGTGACAAAATTGATTTCTTGAAATGATTTGTGAAATTTTGGGCCATGAAAATTTTCCGCTATACGGTATTGCATTAGTATGGATCATGTACAGTAATGATTGTCTATATATATCAGTTAGTCTCTTGTTTGTTTGTTTGTTAGTTATTTAGTATTATTGGTGTGCTGGTTGTTCTTATTTTGGTTGATTTATTGGGCAGTGACACAAGAGCCAGTTGGTGAATCTGAAGAATGGGATCCATTTAAAACACTAGGGATTGACAGGGTATACAGTATCATAATATCCAGCTGTCTTTAATGGATCAGTTCTTTAGGGAGCTACTGTGTCTCAGATCAAGAAGCAGTACAAGTTATTAAGTATGACCCATCATCCTGATAAAGGAGGGGACCCTGAGGTATTCACTAAAATAGCTAAAGCTTACGAAGCGTAAGTCCCTCCATAAAGAGACTATCATGATATGCGTACATGTATA